ATTTCATGTAAAAACGGAAGTGAAGGTATTACTCAATCCCACAAAATATACCTTATTTATGATAGTATTATATTTTCTATATAATACAAAAGAAACACATGAGCTTTAATCACAAATATGTTTCCTTTTCATAAGTCAATCAACCTTTTTTCCGACTGTAAAACATGTTCAATTTTCGTGTATGCACAACCTTGAGAGATACAAATTTAGAGCTCAAAGACCAAGTGATTACATAGGCTACGACTAGTAAAATTGCACTGTCAGCTATAGATGTCAGAGCCGGTCGCTGTTTCAATAATATCTGCTCCACTCATCCCTTGGACATAGGTGCACTGCCGCAAACTAGCCACGAGGATATGTTAGAAACCACTCTCCTCAACAGCGTCTCCATAATCCTTTGCCAATCTTACCATAAATCACATTTGCAGATTTTCTATTGATTTTTGGCTTCGGTCGTCTTGGCATTAATACAAGATACACCGAAGACAACCAAGAAAGCAGGAATTGTACTCAAATTAAACATCACGTGCACTTCTCTCTCTTGTGCAGTGGATTGGGTGGAGAATAGAGATAGTTGTATTTACTTGATCAACGAACCTGCAACAAAAACGAGAGGGAAAAAAAAGAAGACAGAAAATGAGTATGGCAACATATACAAAGCTGAATACAGAACATATCAAGATCTTAGACCCAGGAATCCACAACGTCCTTGGTCCCCTTTTTCCCATATCAAAATACGAGGCAACTCGGAAACATTCAGGATATCAATTTGGACTAACTGGATCAGTTTAAAATGGTCAACTTTCGTTAATGACTGGAACATTATTAAACATTCTTTTCACAAAGAAAACGATAATAATTTGGACATGAGCCATAACTCAAGTGGCACGGGATGGGTGGAGCGAGGGCAGAGGTCAAGTAATACTGTGGACAGAGATATTTGTAGTTTAATAGTAGATCAATATTCATAACTGAGTTCATCAATATTCATAACTGAACAATCGAAAGAAAAAGGAAAAGAAAAAGAGGCCTTGGATAGCTAACCCTCTTGACGCATCCTCTAGGGTATATAGCAGTCTCATGGCATCCACATATTGCAATTCTCCCATAACGGTTGAAATCTGAAAACACCAACATTACCCGGTTGCAAAATAGATGACAACATAATTATACTTGTTAACTAGCTCATGCTCCTGAGACTTAACAAGTTCAAAGGTCTTTTCAGCTAGTCTCAGTCAAGTCTGCAATCGTATGTACTCATGTTCCAATAGCAGTAAAAATGAAAGTACAAAATTATTCTGGGACCACTGTTGATTGAACAATAAAATATTATTTACTTATCTAAATGCATATGTGTGTCTACAAGAAAGGCTAAACATGGTCAATATAATGCCAAGCCAAAAGTTCTCATTTGGGTTTGGATCTACAAGTGCATTCCAAATCTCTTCAAAACACAATCAATGTAGTACTCACATCACAGCCTCCCCCTCCCCCCCCCATCCCCCCTCCTGTGAAAACTGTATTTAGCCAGAATGAATCCTTTCATTGATAGAATGCTCAATATATACAATACCTTTCCTTGTACAACAAGAAGACCTAGAAACTAGGAATACGATAACAGAAAGTATCAATTACAAATCAATTAAATAAAACATTCCTATCTAGTTACATTGACTTTCTAACACTCCCCCTCAAGTTGGAGAGTGGATGTCAAGAACTCCCAACTTGCCCAACATGGATGAAAATTTTTCTTTGCCTAAGGCCTTTGTAAATATGTCTGCCAATTGTTAAGAAGAACTAACATATCGAGTAGCTATAAAGCCGTCTAAAATCTTGTCCCGAACGAAATGGCAATCCATCTCTATGTGGCGTGTTCTCTCATGAAAGACAGGATTAGCAGTAATATGCAATGCTGCCTGGTTATCACAAGACATAATGGCAGGTCCTGAAATGGGTACATGCAAATCTGTTAACAAGTACCGTAACCAAATGAGCTCGCAACATATTCCAGCCATAGCCCTATATTCGGCTTCAGCACTAGAAAGTGAGACCGTTTTCTGCCTCTTAGTCCTCCACGAAATCAACGAATTCCCCAAGAATATACAATACCCAGTCGTAGAACGTCGAGTTATCGGACAACCAGCCCAATCCAAATCACAAAAGGCTCTCAAAGTTGACTTATTATCTGACTGAAAATATAAGCCCTGACCTGGTGCAGACTTCAAATACCGCACAATTCGAAGTGCTGCATCCATATGTGGTTGACGCGGTTAATGCATAAAACGACTGAGTACATGCACGGAGTATGTGATGTCTGGTCTAGTAACGGTAAGATAAATCAATCGTCCAACCAATCTTCGATACAAAGATGGGTCTTTGAGTAATTCACCTTTATCTGAAAGTTTGTTTTCCTCCATAGGAAATCCTACTGGTTTTGCACCCAAAAGGCCGCAATCCTTGATTATTTCAAGGGCATACTTTCTTTGTGAAATACATAGTCCTCTTTTTGAACGAGAAACTTCAATACCTAGAAAATATTTCAGATTGCCAAGATCCTTAATACGAAAGCGAGTATGAAGAAACCGTTTGCGAGCATTAATGGTATCTAAATTGTTGCCTGTAATAATAATATCATCAACGTAAATCAACAAAGCTGTGAAGGATGTACTGTTCTTTTGGGTGAAGAGAGAATAATCTGCTTTGGACTGAGTAAAACCAGCGGCAAGGATAGCTTCTGTGAATTTTGCAAACCACTGTCGAGAGGCTTGCTTGAGACCATATAAGGACTTGTTGAGGCGGCATACAAGGTTCTCCCCCTGACGCCGAAGACCAGGAGGAGGGGACATGTAAATTTCTTCCTGAAGGTCGCCATGAAGAAAGGCATTATGAACATCAAATTGTTGAAGAGACCACCCTTGATGGTGGGAGTAGAAGCAACGTGATGAGCAGAAGAACTTCCACGAGAGAAGCTGCTACCACCACCATTTTGTTTGGAGTTGCGTGTCTTGTTGGGATTGTGATGAGGATGATCCGGTGGATAACCATTCTTCTGCCAACAAGTCTCAACGGTATGATACTTAGTGTCGCTGTAAGAGCAGTGAAGAGGAGGTCGACTGTTGCTGCTGGTCTGCGACTGTTGGTGCTGCTTCTTGGAAGATTGCTGTTGATGGCGAACCGCCATGTCTGCTGGTTCAGTTAGACTGCGGGATCCAGTGCCTAACTCCCGTTGTTTTTCTTCTTGGATGATCGAGGAATACGCTTGTCGGTAGGAGGGAAGTGGATTCATCAATAGGATTTGTCCACGAATAGCACTGTAAGACTCATTCAATCCCATGAGGAACAGCATAAGTCTATTGGTTTCATGTTGTGCGCCACAAGTGCAGATTGTTGAAGAACTATAGGATGCTAACTCATCCCAAAGACCCTTCAATTTTGTGTAATAAACAGCCACAGATTGTTGGCCTTGGGTGAGAGAGGCAATCTCTCTTTGAAGCTGAAAAATTCGTGGAGCATTGCTTTGAGAAAATCTTTCCCGAAGATCTTCCCAAACTTCATAGGCTGTCTTCAAGTAAAGAATTGAATCTGAAATATCAGATTCAATGGAATTGATGATCCATGCAAGTAGCATGTTATTGCACCTCTGCCATGCGGCGTAAGCATCGGGTTGCTTTGTTTCAGATGGCATGTTCACCTTACCGTTAATAAAACCAATTTTGTTCTTGGCACCTAAAGAAATCTCCATAGCTCGGCACCAAGTGTTGTAGTTGTCCCCAGTCAATTTTTTGGAGACTAAAATCAAACCAGGATGATCTGAAGGATGAAGAAAATAAGGGTCGGCAAAACTCTTGCTGTCGCCCTTCTTGATAATGGTGTTGTCGCTGTCAGCCATGGAGAAGGAGGACAACAAACGAAAAAAAGGTTCTGGTGGTTTCGGCGGAGAAAAGAGCTAGGGTTTGGAACCAGCTCTGTATACCATGTGAAAACTGTATTTAGCCAGAATGAATCCTTTCATTGATAGAATGCTCAATATATACAATACCTTTCCTTGTACAACAAGAAGACCTAGAAACTAGGAATACGATAACAGAAAGTATCAATTACAAATCAATTAAATAAAACATTCCTATCTAGTTACATTGACTTTCTAACACCTCTCCCTATGTTTTCATGAGGAAATAGCCAATTTACGAAATTAAGCCACGGTATGTGGTTAACACCATAGCCCTGAGTCTACATGAACCAACTCTACATCCCTGTACAAGGATAAACACATTTATGAGATTTCCAGAATGTTGCACTCCTGAGTCCTAATCACCATTAACTGATAATATTGCAAACAATTTGAAAAGATAAACTAAGTTCCAATTACTACAATACTTATACACAAGGATACTTGTACGCTCCATGGCTAGAAGATGAATGGCTGAATTGACCATTTGTATTGACTCTTCCAAGAGTTGTGATAATATAGCTGCGAGCAATTGTATCAGACTGCAATTGTGGAATGTTCCAGTTCCAGCCTTGAGAAGTGACGGAATTGTGTAATTAAACACGCATCCGACTGACCACATCCAGTCCTGTCATGAAGCATATAGCAGCATGGTAAGCAATTGTGTAATTAAACACGCATTAAAACGCAGTTAGAACTTCACTCGGGACCAACCAAATAGATAAAAGAGCTTTTCTATAATACTCAATGTCTTTTAAACAAATCCTTCACTTGAGCCCTCAAGCCATCATTATTAGAAAAAGTACGACTAAATAATTTCCACGAGTTCAAAGTATTCGAAACTGTACATAATACAGGACAGGTCACAACGTTCAAGAGAGAAATCATATAGATACTGCATATTAAACTAGAAAACTATCGCATTGTTAAGTCATGGGCGCAATACAAATCCCTCGACTGCACTATATCTCAATGTTTTGCATCGATTATAAAGAGCACAAGTAATTTCTACAGATGTCAAAATTAAACAGGCCATACTATCAAGCAGAGCATGAGGGGGAAGCAGACCAACTGGATGTTCAGAAGCAGCAGCCAATGCGGCTTTGATGGGACTCCTGCATACGGTACCGTAGGCTGTGAACACTATATGCCAATCCTTCTCGGTAAAAGTAATGACCTCAAGTTAGTTCTGAGTAATGACTTCAAATTGGTTCAGAGTTCAAATGTCGATTAAGATAATCAGGCATGCTACTGTGATGAGTCGATTTCATATTAATATTTGACCCTATTCTTAGTATATTTAAGTAATTGTTTTGATGAAATTTTGATACTTTGAATTATATTTACAGTGTAGGATATTCGCCTTCCTCTTGAACGAAACGTGACCAAACGAATGAATTTTGGAGTGATCCCAATTGGAGGACGTTCGTGTGTCTATTGGCGTGTTCGTGTCAAAATTTCGGATTTTTTTCTACCAAACGGTTATTATCTAGTGATGGAATAAAGAAGCAGTGCGCGTTGCTGGGAAGTAACGTTTCTGGGCTTAATTGCAATTTTCGGAGCGCAAGATGACCTCTGATGGGTTCGTGGCCTTCTGAAGAAGTATTCAGAATATTCCAAGGTTTAAATCCAGCTATCTTGGGCCAGTGGAGTAGTTATGGGTCCAAAAGGTGGCTGTGTAGATTTTGGGCAAATTTCACTATTTAATTTAGGATATGTTTCCTAATTTATTTTGATTTATTTTGGTTTTCCGAGTCTGATTGCAAGACCTTTTTCCAGGAGAATTGAATTATAGCAGTTTAAATTAGTTTGGCCCACTCTATTTTTCCTTCTTCTCTATGCGATATCTGAGAGGAAAGGGGGAGAAGAACAAATAGATTTTGGAGAACTTTGTTAGGCTTTGATGATTTGTATTTCAAGGTGCTTTCTATCCCTTTTTTTTTTTAAATAAAATTCCTTTGTGTTTTATGATTGTTCGTAACTAATTCTCTGTTTGCTAGGGCGAGGCCACGAGTATTACATCCCACATCAACCAACGAAGAGGGGGTGATGTGCCTTATATGTACATGCCCGCCTCCCGATAGCACAAGACCTTTTGGGAGCTCACTGGCTTTGGGTTCCATCAGAATTCCGAAGTTAAGCGAGTTTGGACGAGAGCAATCCCAGGATGGGTGACCCATTAGGAAGTTGCTTGTGAGTTTCCAGAAACAAAACTGTGAGGGTGTGGTTGGGCCCAAAGCGGACCATATTATGCTACGGTGGAGTCAAGCCCGGGTTATGGTGGGGGCCCGGGCCGAGATGTGACAACGAGCCTTAGCAATAATATGTAGTTTATTTTTAGTTTACTTATGATATTATGCATGCAGATTTGGAATTATTAATCACTGTGTTTAAACTATCTAATTGTCTTTATGCTTTAATCACCATTAGGATAATTAGAATAGTAATTTGATGCAATTTTGATCTGAGATCAGTCCCTGAAATTGATGAAGACTTGTTGTGGTTAATTTGTGCAAGTTCACTTAGGATGAATACCACGTCTTAAAGGTTGCATGGTATTTCATAAAGTTTAACGAGTCTTGTATGTTTAGATTTGATCTGGATACCACAGACGGGTTGCATGTTTGACATACGATCTAAGTAGGCATACTTTAGGAAAACCTAACCTTCAAAATATGCATGTGTAAGTCATAATAAGTAATTAGAAGAACTATGTAGGATTGTTAAGGTGACGGCAGAACACTAGTGTTTTTACAATTTAATTTTCAAAAACCGTTTTCATTTAGTTAATTTTATTTTGCCAATTTATTTATTCAATCCTTGTGGAGAACAAACATGCTATACTACAATTACCTTGTACTATTACAAGTATTTTTAAGTGTTTTTATCTCAACTTTTGTAGGTGATAAAAATCCTATCAATAAATTGGCGCCGCTACCGGGGATTGTTTTAAATAATTTGTGTTAATCATATTCTTAGTTAATTATTTTTGTATATATCTTTTCATTTACTTGATTTCATTTTATTTTTCAAACATACACGTGAAAGACTGGCCTTGACCTGGATGAGTACTAACATCGGTATAGCAACGATGAGCAGATAACGTAAATAAAATCATACCGTTATGTCGACATAATACTATTCAATCAATATTAATCATGGCCACAATCAAAATCCCACAAAAGTACGCATACCTGTACATCCCGTAAGATTTGGGATAATTTCTTAAATTCTATCATTTTGCTAATTTTTATAAATATTAGACTAATCTAGGCATACGTAAGAAATTCTTTTTTCAAATATATATATATATATATATATGGAAACTAACAAATATATATATATAAAGCCCCACTCACATATACTAGCGAAGACATAGCCGTTCGAACTAGGAAAGCCGAAGTCTCAAATAGTAATTTCACGTAAGCATAATATTAGGACGCATTTGTAAAACTCTACTAAGACAACTCAATTTGGGAAAACGGAGTGCAGATTTGGAATCAAAGCGTCGAAATACGCAAAGAGAAGTCCTAGGCAAAATTTGTAAAAAGTCAACGAAAAAGTCAACCTAAAAGTCAAACGAGATGCCCTAGTGGTTAACTACGTCAAAATTTTGGAATTTCACTAAATTGATGTCTAAAACGGACCCAGGGAGTCGAAATTAGCCTATGAGGGTTTTCGAGAAAATTCCAAAACAGTCAACAAAAGTCAACTAATAGTTAACAGTTAACTTTAACGGAATATTCCACTCTTAGATGGAATATTTAATTATAGTTGACTAAAAGGTTAACAAAATATTTTAAGGGAATATTCCCTCCAAATCTGAAATGGATCCGGGTCGAATCTGGGTTTGGGCCAAGTTGGATCTGGCCCACGGATTTGGGTTGGCCTTTTCTTCATTTTTTATTTTATTTTATTTTTTTCCTTCTCGGGTCAAGTTGACCTGTTGGGCTCGTAGGTTGCACCCGCTAGACCTAACGAAGAAGAAGGCCGATTTTTGGGTTGGTTTGGCAAGGAAATTTCCTGTACTCCGATCTGGGTTTAAAAGTCAACTATTCTCAGAGATCTTTAGGTCAATTTGAGGCTAAGGCAAAGGAGAACAAAGATTTACCGACATGAGACCTAGATGTGGCCAAAAAGTAGCTGGAAAAGTCTGAAATCCCACGGGTCCATCGCCGAAGAACAAGAGGAAGGTTCCCGAGGTATTTCCAACACCAAAACATCACCAACTCGCATAAATGATTGAGAAAGCTACCAAAAACGATGATAATGACGTGATTTGAGGGTGCACGATCCCTACCTCGTCGGATAAGTGCACAAATCACCAGAGGTCAGCGGGGGAGAAAGGTACAGTGGCCTCTGCCACTGTCGAGGTTTGTAAACTCGTCGTTGATTTCGGGTATATAGTGAGGAAGATGGTGGTGTGGTACAATAGGGATGATGGAGCTCGCCGGAACGACGAGGTGTGTGGGGGTCTCGGGTTGCCGAGAATGAGAGAGAGTTAAGTGGTGAGAGGAGGTGAGGTGGCAACAAGAGATTGGGTGAGTAAAGTGAGAGATAGAAACCAAGGTTTTTGGAAGGAGGGGATACAGGATAGGGCAAGAGTGGGGTGTGGGCCCCACGTGGCTCACAAAGCAACACAAAATATCCCTAGACCTAAAATTACCAATTTGCCCTCGGTATTCGAAGTTTCGTAATATTTTAACGATAACTCTGAATTCGATTCTTCTTGCGCCTACACGTTTGTACCTTCGAGTACTTCAAGAATACAATGAATAATAGCTCATATGCATCACAAAAGTCTACAATCTCGCGCCTAGGTGAATTTTTGTCAATTCACTCTTTTAGAATTTATAAAATCGTAAAATTATGGACGAGTTATTACATGGTCCTTCTGTAACAATTTGTCAAAATTTTTGTTATGCGTTGATGTGAGTTTAATAATTTAATAATTAATTAAATATGATGATGTGGCATATAAATGGCTTCCACAAGATTTCCGGGTTTTTATCACAATTGTCCCCTAAAATTGACTCACACCATCGTGACGATCTTTGAAATTGAAAATCAATTAACCTAATCCCTGAAAGTAGGAGTTGCAAATTCATATGGTTTTTCCGTCACAATTTTGTCAAAATTTTTGTTATGTGTTGATGTGATTTTAATAATTTAATAATTAATTAAAGAAGAAGTCAAAATATCTTTTTGCATAATGAGATTATTTCAAGGTAGAGCTTGTCGATCATTGCGTCACCAAAATCATCAAAGGAGTGCCTAACAAGCTCTTCGAGATTAAAGTTGTGCGATTGTTGATCACCCAAATGTTAACATTGATGTCAAAAAAGTCATTGCCAATCTAAGCCGTCGTCAAAGGTGGTCTTGATTTTGGTCCAATTCGATGAAGGGCGTAAAGGTGGGTATCTTGAGAGTTTTTTTTTTTTTTTTTTTTATAAGAACAAATAGCGGAATCTACAATAGCTGGAGGTAGAGGAGTGTGGATTAGGATCGAGGTGATTGTGGGACTGAGTTTCTGGATTGACAACTTTTTTAATTAATTATTAAATTATTAAACCTATTTCTAATTATTTTCCCTCATAAATGTATTTTTCTTTCTATTTATAGAAAATTTGGAGTGCAAATTGAGATTTTCAGAGGCCGATAAAAATTTCCTTATTTTTAGTTTAATTAGACTTGTGCATTTTGACACACCCCAACTGGAGTCAAGGCATGTTGGGCAACACCCGAAGGTGACGTAACCAAAAAGGAAAGTAAAGCATAAAAGTATGGATAAATTTAAACCAAAGCTAACGTTTATTAAATCTAAAGTAGAGAGTGTGTAGTAGTGGGGGGGAAGAACCCATAAAACATAAATGTTCAAAGCATAGATGACAGTACAACATAAGTAGAGAAGTTGAACTAATTAAGGTACTTATTACACCACTAGAAATAAGCTCCCACAAAGGTTTATAAAATACAGTTATTTTTCTGAACATACTAACCTCTTGCCGTAAAACATGTATAGTTTCCAGAAAATCATACTATGTATAAGTATGAAATCAAATGTAAATCAACAATAAATCCAGAAATACACCAATCATAATATCTCAATCGTAGTATAAGTAAATTGGTGTAAACTTGCAAGTGCACAAGATAGTCGTAATATAGCATGTTGCAAGTCCAAGTATCGTTCCCACGAAGATTCTAATTCAA